AGTCCTTATTATGTAGGCAATGGAACATCTTGGGACAATATTAGTCTGATTGATTGTGTAGTCCTTATTATGTAGGATGGACATTTATAGACTGGAAAATATACTTGTAAATACAAGGAACTCTCACTCACCTTTCTTGGAAATCTGAGAAGAACCATTTATAATCTTAAAAAAACAAAAAGGTTTTAATACACACTACAGAAATAGTGTTGTTTGTTACATGTATTTTAAAATCAAATTATTACTTTTAATTACAAATGTACATACCCTGCTATTGCTCTTCATTGTCAAATTATGAGATGAAGCAAGCTTTAAGAACAAACCAATTAGCATGTTATTCATCTATTAGGTGATATACGTATATTATGACGTTCAATTAATATAGAAACATAAATATAGAAATAGAAGAATGCTGGACAGCTAGATTAATAAACTATTTTTATAGTATTAAAAATATCATGAAAAAACTTAAAGTTCTATAGAAAAGAAAAAGGGATGGTAAAGTACAAATACTAAATGTGTGCAATAGTTATCACCATTTAGTAGTAAATAGTACTAATTAAACAAAAGAAAACAATAGAATTAGCATAAGATAASACTATATWTTAGTGATATTTATGTTGCACACATTTAGTGTTTGTACTCTACTTTCTAATTGCCTACCTATAAGGGCTGGATCATAATGCAAAAAACAATTTCCAACCTGAAAAATATTCCAAGAGCATCAGATCAGTTATTCAAGAAACTGTGGCAAACTATAGATAAAAAAATGTGAATATACAGTTGTATGTGAAGACTTGAGGTGATTAATGGGCATTAAAAAATATATATTGTACATTATATATGAGCAACTCACTTACAAGAAGTCATAAATGGAATGACTATATTATTCAAACTTGTTATCGATAGTTGTTTGGAAGCAGAGAGACATTCTAGTTCATTCTTTAGCCATCAGTAAATGACGTAGGTCAAGTGAACAATAAAATGATTGACAATATTGACAATACAACAATGGTTATGGTATTTAATTACGTATACACGAGGGAACATTTGAGTGCACTGTTCATAGTAACCTTAAATTCAATATAAAAAAATAATAATGAAAATCTGAAAAATGCTCCCCACTTGTGATGACGTTCACTCTATCATGCATTGTAATTATTTCGAGAACATAACAATTATTTTAAATCACCTTCCCGCTTGAGAAGCGCTGTAAACTGTTTGCAGTATTTTACAAACAAAATTTACTGATATGAATGATTCAATGCTACTCGATATTTAACCTGTAGAATCGACTAAATAAAAATAACAACGAATGGTTCGTAACTGCCACTTAAATTTTAACAGTAAGCTTAATTTCATAGCATAAGGTAAAATAAAACACCAACTCTGAGGGAAGAATAAGCCTCTAATCTAATTCCCGTCGTTCTAAATTCCTTGAAATCATACGGAACATGAGATTACACGATAGTATATACACCTACTAACTACTGGAATATTATTCATAATCAATATCGTTCCCCTATATTAGTAATTCTAATGGTTAGGTATCTAACTAACACTAAGTTGAGATGACAATAATAATCTGTACTTTATATTTAGAGCACAAGATGGCGAACAGCATAAAACTCTTGGTTCCGTTTCGCACATCGATACGAAGGACCGTCGTTAAGAATAAAATGGCGTTTGAAAGTCTATAAAATCACCCAAAAGATGTAAAGCATTATCAATACGTATAAAATTGAATGACATAAGAACAGTAGCTCATGTCTCCTTGTATTTTAATTATAATTTGCTCTTATATTTCGTGTTTAGTAATCTTTGAACAATTTTACGTGCTGCTTTACTCGACGTTTTACTCACCTTTCTTGTTTTCGCGCTCAGCTATTTCTTCCACGCTCAATTCCCAGAAATCTATGCTAGCTAAATGCTTTCGAATTCCAGGAAACTGGAGAAAGTTCTCGTGTTACTGTTGTATTTATTTCCGGAGAATATAAAATCCTAAGAATGAAGAGCTTTCACAGGTACCACAACGATAGCACAACACAAATTTGCACAGTTCTGCAGGACACTTTCAAAACTTTGAATACGGAATACTCAACTGCAAGTGTTATGAAAAATGCCAGTTATTACGAAGGCAAGTCTGTTTTGAACGGAATAATGGATAATCTATATAATACGTTCATTTCAGAGGAAGAAAAGATAGCTGGCAACAATGTCGTAAAGCGATAAGCGGCAGGTATTAAATATCAATACAACTGGTCCGTCACGTGACTATTAGCATGTTAACACCAACACTTTTCCTCCTCTCCCCACCCCTTTAAAAATATTAATAACGACGCTTATTTATAAATTTTAAAATGAAAAATTCTAATTCTTCTTTGGATACGAGATAAAGAGTAAAGTAAATTATTCTGTATGACATGCCCTTTACTGATAAACATAATGTATACTCAATATATTAGGATGGGAGCCCTGTGGTCATGGAGCGAAGTAGGTATAGGTACTAGTTATATTACAGACATGGTTGTCATTTGATGGCTCCTTAAAATATCATTTATAATGGCTTCATTCACCTATTAAGGTTTTTGATACAATGAACGTGAACTTCAGCACAGGCAAGCTCGTTGTATTACTTGCTGTTTTAGGCATCGGAGTGGGATTTGTTAATTTCTTTTTAGTATCACGTTTCAATAGACAACAACAGAGTGCTTTGGAAAGAAATACCTCAGGGGTAAGCTTCATAGTAAATTTTATTTGCCTGTCTAAAGGTATTTTGTAAAATGCAATTTATTTCTCATATGGGGCACTCATCTGCAAGGACTGAAATAATGTTCCCTTTCTTTTCCAGAGAATTCTATCACTTTTTTCAAACAAAAACATGGACTTCAGTAAATTAGACATCGACCCTTTGGGTGAATACAGGGTTCAGCCAAATTTTATGAAAGCCACTGGTTCAACGAGAAAACGTCATGATGTTTCCATGGTTACTCATTGTACTATCAATAATCTTCATTACCTGCTGAACTTAGTTCATCATTGGAAAGGGTCAATATCTATTGGTATGTGTAGCTTGAAGTGATACTATTGTTTAGAGTAGATTTTATTGAGGAAGTAAAAATGTGCATGCATGCCATATGCAGTTATGAAGAATGCAGGGTTTAGCAAAATGAGAGAATGCATAGAGAGTCCAGAATTTGTGACGGACCATTATGGTAATACCGTAGGTTTATACATGTATATATTAGTCTACTATATATTCACCACTGATATATTCAATTGACTTTTTCAGCTGTGATTGTGCCAGGGTTAGATATCATTGTTGCTTACAAGTCTATCATTGGCCTTCATATTTGCAGCAGTAAGATTAGGGAAAGGGTATCTTTTCATGTTGTATACCCTTTATCACACCCTGCGTTAATGAATGATTTGATGTATTATGCTAAACAAGCAAGGAAAGTGACACCTCGCTCTTGTGAAGAGTTCTTGGTTGGTATGCAGACCACTGGGGTTATTCAAAACAAGAATTATGCAAATATTCAGGTAAATGTGAAAACAGAAAACTACTAATTTGTGCTGCTGCTGTGGCAGGAAAACATATTCTGAATTCATCTCAATGGTATATTGATCTTGCATGATATGTTACTGTAATTGCAGATCCCCTACCCTAACAACCTACTGAGGAATATTGCAAGGAGTAATGCTGATAAAGACTACATATTTATGGTTGATATTGATATGATGTGCAATGGAAATCTTTATCATGATTTCCTGAAATTTGCAGAAGATAATAATTTATTTGGGAATAGTCAAGGTATGGATGCAGATCACCTTACTTTAATTACCTCTATTTATATATCATTCTGTGCAAGGGAAAGAGAGTGATTTTTTGCATGATTTTTTAATGAAATCTATGTATTTGACAGATTGTATATTTGATATGAACAACTCAGTGTGGAGCACATCTCTCACTGCTTTCGCATAATCCAAACATAGAGACAATGGTTGCAATGGTTCAATGCTCAACTTAATTCCACATTACAAGCTGAGCCTTTTTGATGTTTTGTCTTTTGCCACATTTTCCTGGGTAGACTGACCAGTTTTCCTCCATGAAAATCGGCAAGTGAGCTGAGTGTTGTGTATTGTAAATATTGCTCTCAGTGGAAGTCTATGTAGGAGTGAACACTGGAGGATCCCTCATGGGGAGTGATTGTTGTTGCTTTAATAAAAAGCTTCTTTTCTAGATATGAGAGTATTTGTTGTACCAGCATTTGAAAGTCAAGAAAGTGTTTCAGTTGACTTAACTAAGAATGGATTAATACAACTGTGGGATTCAGGAAAAATTCAGCCATTCTACTTTAAGGCTTGCTGGAAATGTCAGCGTCCAACTAACTATGAAGATTGGAAAAGGTATATATTCAGAAAAGTATACAGTGATTAGAAAAACGTGTCTTTATATACTGGTTACAATACTGCAGTTACTTAATTCTAAGACCCATAGAAATTTGATGTTATAATAACCCAAACACTTTGATGGATTGGAAGGACCAATTTTATTACCTTGTAATTGTTTCATAATAAGGGATGTCTAATAGCATCTTTATTTCCATATCAGGCACAAAAGTAAATCAACAGGTCTGGATATATCTCACAAGGTTGAATGGGAAGATCCATGGGAGCCTTTTTATATTGGCCCATACCATGTACCAATGTATGATGACAGATTCAAAAAGGTAAAATTACTCAAACACAAGAGTAAGACACACCTGCATTACAGCTGTAATCAAGACTTACAAGTGGGATAGTTACTTTTGCTAGGCCCCCAGGCCCGGGGGGGGGGGGGGGGGGGGGACTACCACCCCAACTTGGGTAGGGGTGTGCCGCCAGGACCTCAAAACCCTGACCCTATCCCAGACCTAATATTTTGATTTTACATACCCTACCCCAGACTGAAACTAAGAATTGTACACCCTATCCCAGACTAAAAGACGTAAAATACAGTTTTACAATCGATTGCAATCAATATTTATTAACATTTTTATTGTTTTTGGTTGGCAGAAAGCGTAGCCTATTCGCCAGACAAAAACGACCAAATCGTTAACCCTATCSCAGACTAAAATGATACCCTATCCCAGACAAAATGTCAAAAAATGATACCCTACCCCAGACCCAAAAGCCGAAAAACCATACCCTATAGGGGGGCACATACCCGTATAGCAAATATAGGGGAGTACCCCCCCCCCTGGGCCCCCAGGGAACAATTATACATTCAGTTGGCATTGAAAAAATGTGGGCTAACCAAACTACATTTGCATTAGGATAAGCCAAGTCAGGTTTTCAACTCTTCTGGTGCAATACACAGTCAAGGAACAAACCCATCACAAAATAGTGTTAAAATACCATTATGTTCTTTAGAAGAGTTTACCTACTTAAATCCTTTTTGTCTATCTGTTCAACAGTATGGATTTAATAGAATAAGCCAAGTATGTGAGACTCACATTGCAGGATATGACTTTGCAGTACTGGATAATGCCTTTCTGGTACACCATGGTTTTAAAAACAAGTTTCATAAAAAAAAGGATGAAGAAAATGACATAAACAGAAAATTATTTAGAAAATTTAAACAAGAACTAAAAAAAAAGTATCCAGATTCAAAAAGACGATGCTAATGATTATTTTTTGATAAGGTTTATAAAATATACAGTCTATTTGATAGTACCTATGACATTCCTATGTTTCAATAAAAAGAATTTAATTTCAAGCATTAATTTCAGTCCAGGAAATAAAACTTTTAACAGCAATAGCACTGTGTTGGATATATTCATTTTATTTTTCTTAAATAGCTTTGAACTAAAACATTTTCCTCCTATAAAATCTTGGAGGTGTTGGTGTTTTTAATGATGGCTTTTTGAGGGGTGACACTTCAGGAAAATATTTTTCAAATAGTTCTCTGTCTTCATCTTTTTGATGAGGAAAAAATGTTGAATTTTCAGTTTGTTTCTTTATGGTGTTATAAAACATTGAACTTGAAGTAGTGTTTTTCATCAGTGATGTATTCAGGGGTGGTACCAAGCACTCCAATTCTTTATCATTTTGTTCAGTAAAATATTTAGTGTTCTGATTTGTAGTTTTCTGTATTGTATGATCCAGAAAGTCTAGAATATCAAAAGTTGAGGCTAACTTGCTATAAGTTCTGTCTTGACTTTGTTTTTCTCCTCTGCTAGAATCAAACGGTTCTACATTTTTGCATGAAAGATTTTCTCTTCTATCACATGTTTGATTTATCATCTGGTTGGTAGTGACATTTATTTGCTGAAACAGAAAAGACTAAAATTGTCAAATGGTCAAAGAGGTCTGTGCTAATTCAGGAGCAGCCTGTAGTAACTATTTTTAGTGTTCTCATTACCTTGAACAATTCAACATTACATGATGGGTTCTCCAAGGGCTTCTTTGGTTTGTACTGTTTGTAGTCTTCATCCTGTTTCATGTCCCTTGGATTAACGTTTTCATTCATCTTGGGCTCCTCAGTCAATGATGTGTTGTTTGGAAAATGAGGTGAAAGACGTTTTGTAGAATCAGGTTTCATTGCTGGTTCTCCTGTATAGTTTATAAAAACAACATTTTTCAAATTATTATTGTCAGTAAGACTTATTTACTCAGATTATTATGGAACATCCAATTTTTTACCAACTTTTCTTAAGAACAGAATTATTTCTGCTTTACATGCATTAAATGCACATGCTCTTAGCATTCATTGAGTAACAATCAAAATTGAAGTATATGATTTACATGTGAACTGATTAAATCAACATACATTATATTTTATTATATAAACTTTAGTTATACTCAATTTCAGAGTAGCCAATGTAAAAGCAAATATCTTTGACAATGAAACCATCCCAACGGCTGCAATCAATCAGTTTAAATTACATACCAGTTTTTCTTTTGTGAAGTCTTTTGTGTAATGCTGAATGAATTCCTTGTTTTTCAATCATTTGATTGGCTGAGCTGTAAAATAGGTGACACAAAAAAAGTCATATGTTTTCATAATTCATACTCACTACTATGTTGGACTCTAAAAATGACAAATGAAAAATACTTACCATTGTTTGAAAACTTTTACAATTTGTTCTTTAACCTCTGAAAAATAATCTGCAAATACCAAAAAAGGGATGAAATTTGAATAATTAAAAATGCAAAAGCTGCAGTCAGGATTCATAATAATTTGAACTTATAGATTAATCGTCTTTTTCATTCGTTTCATATTAATATAAAGAAACCCTGGCAGTGACCACCCTCAGTTCCTCCACTTGAAACTAACCATCTCTCATGCTTGTAAATTGCACAAAAAGCAATCTGTCATTCACTTCTCAATGTAAAAAGGCCTTTGATTATATCATATAGAAAAGGCGCTATATAAATTCATAAATCATTATCATTAATATCATGATTAAAACTATGATTATGCTACCACCCGAGTAGCATGAATCACTCTAACTTCATAAAGTGTGAAAAAGTGAGAAAATGTTGTCTTAACAAACATGCTTGCATCTGTAAAGAATTTTCCTAGTATCAGTAATAGCTTCCTGCAGTTTTCATTTTTCCAAGGGTATCTACTTACTTCTACCATTAAAAGTATTGGCAGGATGTAGGCTGTCAATTAAATTTTCTGAAATTTCTTGCAAAGGCGTCTAAAGAAGTAAAACAAGTTTTTAAAGAGTCTGCAAAATCATTATCATTATGTATCATGTTATATATAGATTTATAAATACCTTGAATGCCAGTCCTTTACTTCTTCTTCCTGAGCAACTTTGATAAAGATCTCCTGCTGAGCCACATAAACTAACAATAAAACACCAGGATTATGTCAAAGCAAAAAAGGAAAAAATGTAAGTAAAAATGCATTTCCTAGTTTCCAGTGCATCCCATAACTGGGTCCATGACCTATGCCAGTTGTGTTAATGATAGCTCACAATACATTGAATGCTAGCTAATCACCTTGGTGTAACACACTCATGTGGAGAATTTCTGAAAAGTAACAGATAATAATTTTAAGAAATATACTTGGGGAAACTTGAGGAAAGAGTGTTAACAATATTTTTACTTATAAAATAATACATTGAAAATATAACTGCTTACCTTTCTGTTGGCAAGCAGGTATCAAGTACATCTGAAAATCAAAAAAATATATGTATGTATCTATCAACAGCACCTTATGACTAGGAAACAATAGACGTTGTACTAATTAGTGCAAAATTAGTTTAGTACAGTCAACTGTCCCCTTGCAGACACCTTGCTATCGAAGACAGAAGCCAAGTCTCCAGTGAAAAATACTAACAAACAAATAACTGTTAAACTCCTTTGCTTTTAGGAACACCAAGTGTCAGTCCCAAGGGTGTAAGCTGTAACGAGAGATGAGTGTACTGTTTAAACATATTCACATTTTCATAATTTCATCAAATGGCAAATGTCTATAGAAGTACCATTGCAGGGCTTAAACACTTAAGCATATCAGTTATTCTTTCCTGCCCCATCCCAGTCAATACGTCTCTATAATCCCTGTATTTCCTACTATTATACTACGAGATATTTAGATCTGTTGACATTATCATTTTACTTGATGGCAAGTTTTTGTAATTTTGAGACTCTGCTGATGTTCCAAGATTGTTAATCCTGAAAGAGGACACATCTAAAACTTTTGAAAGGTCTTTCTTCATCTGCTGGTCAATGTCTTGATAGTTCTAAAGAACCAAAAACAACTATATTGTAATCGAAATGTCATTCCAATTATGTGAATTTGCAGAAAACGAAACTTAGAGGAAAGGCATTTTGAGAAGGTAGCTTGTGATTATYCACTGACCTTTTTTATGACTTTCCTTTCATTGAGTTCTGTAAAAGAAATGAAAGGGGTTCGTTATTACTTTGCAACTCTGATTGAATGATACATTGTGTCTTACCTCTCAAAATGGTATCCGACTTTTTGGCTTTATTGTAAATTCCTACGTTTCTCTAATAAGATAGTTACATAATAACCTTAATTTGATAATAGGATAAACACGGCCGCCACCGTTTCCTAAACAACTTACAGTTATTCTGTGTTTGGTGATGATAGAATCAGTCTGTTCTTTTGGTGTTAGGATTTCTTTCCTTGCCTGAAAAGATAGTTCGAGGGAGGTACTCGGTATATTTCATAATTTTTAAGTCTCTACTCTACTCTACTTTACAAGGACGTTTGTACCTCGTGATATCTCCGTTTTCTGGTTTTCTTTAGCTTTTCTGTCTTGTTGCTCGATGCGGTTTTGTCCATGCCTCAACAGTTTCATTTGACTAAAAAAGTAACCTCTCTAGTTAAAAAATGTTATCCAAAAAGAATTGAAATTTCGTTTTTCCCACCGTTACGAATTAGGTCTTTATTTTGCGAAAGGAAAACGGCTTACCTGTAACAAGTAATCTTAACTTATTTTGAGGAACCTCAAAGACGCTCAGGTAAATCCAACTCAGTCTTTTCGACACATCGATACTATTTAACCACAAAGCTTTTGGTCGTTCATGCATTATTCAAGGTAAAACCCTTAAATATGTTGGAAAGGCAAAACAAAGCCGACTGTCATGGCCGCCAAGACTGAGGGAAGGACGAACGCACCTCGTGCACGCGCGTCTCCGGCGTCGAGGTTTTGGCGCGAAATCCACCATCAGAACATCAGGCCACAGGGAACCCAGAGGGAAAATTTAGATTCTGCAAAGTGCTAGCTATGTTGTGTGTTGTGCTATGTTCATTTAATTCATCCTTTCCTTCTTCACAACTCCACTGCATCAGCTCTCCATTGCAATGCAGTGTTTTTGGCAAATATTAAAACTTTTAAACACAAGATGGGGTAGCCTCTTCCATCCGGGTTAAGGGTTGTCATGCCACTCAGCACTAACACCAGAGGCAAAGGAGACTAAGGATGGGGCCACTGACAAAATTATGATAATTTGTGATCACCTTTATTTATGATTCTCATTCACATCAATATCAATTAAAAATTTAATTCGATCAGCATATTTACAAGTGTGAAAGGAGATGGATTATTAGCATAAAGAGAGTAGTAGATACTTTGATAAGCGAAGAAGAACTATTATCAATTCAATTATTGAACATTTAGTTCATAGAAGGAAAAGAAGGCAGTATGCTATCCATTGTCCATCAGCATTTCATATTAATTTTTTATATTATTATTCATGGTTATTTCTATGGTCTTCTATCTCCTCCTAACGATTAACCAAGCAACAAAAAATACAAAAAGGCAGAAGACCATCATATAACACATGATTTTATGGTGTCCTTTTTTAGTTAGAGCTTGTAATCTTGCCATTGTTGCTGAAAGTAATGAGCCACTGGAATCAAAATCACTATCCTGTAATGCAAAACAGTTATTTAGCTTGCATTTCGATCAAAATATATATTAATAATGGTTATTTTATTTCACATAATTTGAAGTGGATACTGAATCCACAGAATCATTCATTGTACAATACTTTAAGAGTGATCCAGGAAACCTCGAAAGGGGTGTCCAAACACTGAGAGGGAGTGTCCAATCGTTCAGAAGTATTTAACAGCGTATTAAGTATAAGATCCTTCTTTTTGTCTTTAAGGCAGTGAATGGTATTGTGCCAACTTATCTTAGTGATTTAGTGTGTCCTTACGTTCCATCTCGCACATTGCGTTCATCTGCCAAGGGATTGCTCAGGGTACCCAAGTTTAAGCTTAAGACCTATGGCGCTAGGGCATTCTCCATTTGTGGGCCTGTGTTATGGAATACTCTTCCCCAAGATATTAGATTATGTTCAAGTTTGGATAGCTTTAAGAAAAAGCTAAAAACATTTTCATATAAAGAGGCTTATGGTTAGTTTTTAAGATTAGTTATTCATTTTATATATATTTATAATTACTAGATTATTATATTTTTATAGAATGTAGTCATTAAGATAGTTTAGTAGTTGGATTTTTGATTATTTGATATTTCAGTAATTATTTATATTTGTTATATTGTTTGTAAAGCGCTTTGAACATAGGTAAAAGCGCTATAGAAATAAAGTTATTATTAATATTATTATTATTATTAAGTGGTGTGCAAAGGGGTGTTAAAAGGGGTTAAAAAATATACTTCATAAAAAATTTACTTCAAATCTGTGACAAAACTAAATTCTATGATAATATAATCAATAGCCCTTTTGCAACAAACAGTCACGTGCTGATATATGACTTCGATAATGAATCAATTCAGCTCAAGGTCCCTTTGGGAAGGCTCTGCTGGATGGCAAACAAACTTTAAAATGCTTCGTATCTTGAAGTTGAAAGTATTTCAAAAGGGGAAAAAAGTATTTTTGAAAAGGTTTTGGATAGGACATTAGTAATCCAGCAAAAAATCTTTAAATAAACGAAGTCCAAATTTTTTTGCCATCCAGTAACAATCATGTGTCAATCTATTGCAAAAGGCCTATTGAACCTTAGATATGACAAGGGGTCTAGGACCACCCCACCCTCCTCCTCCCCTTGATCTGCCCTTGTTCTTATAGATACTATGGATTTAAGTTTAGAAGTTTGCAATGTTTATAATCAATCTTGTTTCCGTGCTCTTACCATTTCAGTCAATAACTTATTTTGGGTCCTTACTTCATGTCCAATATCTATTGAGAGCTACATAAAGAGAAGATAAATAAATAGTGCATTGGTAACTCAAATGACAATGCAGATAATAAAATATAAACAATCTTACTTTTTCTCCAATCACAATGGTATGTAAATGATGCATGGTTGAAGTGGATATCATATGACTGTAAACAGCCCTTATCAAAGTTGATCCTGGGGCCCAGTGGTAATCCTAAATGAGTGAACTCGAAGTAAGGCTATTAGGTTGAGCTTGCATCAAATTTCAATAGAAAAAATACTCCATTAATGTCATTTGTGATAAGGGCTATTTATCTATTGATGGTTTTCATGGTGGCCATGTTGGAGGAACTTAACAAAAGAATTATCAATTTTTGTTATATCCTCCAACATGGCCGCCATGTCTTTTGTTATTTAATTCTCTTGCGAATGGTTGAAAACCATCAATTGTCAAGGCAAATGGTACCATCATGCAACAAAATTAAACCCATGTCTCATGATTGTCATGCCAAGAATTTTTCTATCAATCCAAACTGCAGYATTTTGCGAATTTTAATATGAGAACTCTGTTTTTATAGACATCAAAAATCTCATGCTTCAGTGAAAATGATGGAGTAACTATAGAATACTCTGGGGGGAAATAAAAAAAGTCAAAAATGGATTCTCTGTTTCTCACCCTTTCTTAATACAAATCAATAGAACAAATCACTTTACAAGGAAGGGGGTATGCATTGTGCTAGCCACCGGTTACACTGAGGATGTTTTGGTTGTCGTACTTATGCCATTTGGTACAACTATAGAATTTCTAAGTTGTACGAAAATGAAATAAGTATATCTCGAAGTTTTCCTTTCCAATAAAAAATGATTATGAATCATACCTTGAAAAAGCATTGTACTGAATTCATTAGCTATTATAACAATCTTACCGATTTCAAGGTCTGTACTTTATTAGACAAGTTGTATTCTAGTCTTTCGTTTTCTTCTTCTAACATCTGATCACTTCGTTGTGGATAAGAAGACATGTTGTTCCCAAAATCTGAAGCGGCCACAACACGATTATTTTTAACACTTTACTTCCAAAGTACAATCAAGTAAAAAAAATTATTATGAAGGCCCTACTTACTTTGTGCACGTCTCATTTCTTTACATAGGAAAATGTTAAAAATAAAACAGCCAGATTCTGACAAACTTCCGAGTTGTCTTTGTAAACGTGTTATTTTATATTACAAGCTTGTTAGACAGTCCGCTGGACGGCAATATGTGGGCTCACCCTTCTTTCGGAAAGCACTCGGAATGTGTCGGGCAAGAATCGGAATATCTCTTTTCGAACCACTTGTTTTCCACTGAGATATTTGCTGATACTAAGTATATTGAAGCAAGAAATGTTACCAAGAAGTCTTTCACACGTGTTGATTAGACTTCAAGGTAAGTTATGATAGCTATGACTTCCATGTATAGAATGACTTCCACGAATATAATCAGCCTACAGAAACCACTTGAATGCTTCTACACTAAGTGATCGCGACCTTATTAACAAAAGATCCCTCGCATATATATTAAACTATATTCACATTAGCTTATTATCACACGTATAGATATACGTGATGTGAAGAAATTAAGATGTTAATATCAGATACAAATTTAGGTAACATGCAATTTACTCTCGTAGCATGTAATGAAACCATTGAAAGGTAATAATTAATGGTATATGACTAATTAAATATCACTTAAAAAGAACTCGATCTTTACTTGTTTATAATCTCAGCTGTTTCAATCATCAGATAAGAATAGTGAAGATCATATCATGACAAACAAATGCACTGGACATTTTTTTATGGCAAGACACATGCACTTCTGCTGGCTACAGCTCTACCCCCTTACCCCCTCCCCCATCACACGTCACACACACCACATCTTGGATTGTAACGACCCCCTCCCCTAAACACACATACAAACTTTTAGACAGTTGGGTTTAAATACATTACAGACAGACAATTTTGTTAGGGTTTTGTTCAATGGTAATTCCTTACCAGGATTACTGACATACTTCATGGTATTATTTTTTTGAGGAGTAAGAGTTTTAAGCCGTCATACAAGTACAGCTTCAACAGCTTTCAGAAAGTTGTTAGATAATCAACTCACTGGAATTAAGGAAGCAGGAACCTGGAAAAGTGAGAGAATTATTACTACTGAACAGGCATCAGAGATTGGCGTTAAGGGAAGAAGAGATAAAATCCTTAATTTCTGTGCTAATAACTATTTGGGATTATCAGTAAGTATAGTAAGACGATTTAATAATAATAATGATAATTATAATATAATATAATATAAATCATCATGTCTAGTGATTATTGCTGCTACCCCACATCCCAAATGATGTACAGTATATTATCAATAGCCCATTAGGCTGAAGGGGCTATTGACTCATGCACCAAGGGGATTAGAGGTCTAATAGGCCCTTTGCAGTTAACGGTCATGTGTCTGTACTGGTGGGTAAAATTTTTGTTTTTATATTAAATTGGTGATTCTTTTTAGCTACTTGTAAAGAACTGAATGAAAACATGTGTATCCAGTGTGTTACGAAATGTAGTTTTATTACGATCTCTCGAAACAGGTTGTAGGAAGTTTGTTTGCAGTCCAGTAAATTTTACCCTTGGGAATCAAAATGTTCATTCATTTGCTCTCAGTGAATTAATCAGCACGTGATTGCTTAGCTGCAAAGGGTCTATTGTTTTAGTATAAACCTAATAATATAATTGGTCCAAATATGGATACAAACAATTTTTGAAATAAGGTTAAAATAATTTATTCATTGCAATATTTTGGTTTTCAAAAGCAGCACTTTTCACTATTAGTGGTCTATCACTAACAGACCATTATTAGCTCAGCCAATCAGAGTACAGGATTCAAGATACACTGACTTTATATCTGCTATGAGGTAAACCCTTCATCTATGTGACTGTGTTGTTATATATCATAGTCAAATCCAGAGATCATCCAAGCAGCTAAGGATGCATTAGACCAGTATGGTAATGGCTTGAGTTCCGTGAGGTTCATATGTGGAACACAGGTGTGTATCAGTTCATTGTTTTTGGTAAGTTAAGATTGATTTGTGGTTTGAAGCAAAAATAAGCTTTCTAAAGTCTAAATAAGATATTTATTTTATGGTGTGTTATCATTATAGGATATCCACAAAGAACTAGAGGACAAGATTTCCAGATTTCACAAAACAGAAGATGCCATTCTATATGCATGTTGTTTTGATGCAAACACTGGTTTATTTGAGACTATTYTAAGTCCTGAAGATGCTGTGTTTAGTGATGCATTAAACCATGCTTCCATGATTGATGGAATAAGACTCTGTAAAGCAAAGAAATTCAGATATGAGCATGTTGATATGAAAGGTAAGTATAACATAGACAATTAATTACATCAAAGTCCTTTTTATACAAGGAATTGAAATATTGCAACCAATTTGAAAGGCTATTCTGGATTGTCTGTAAAGGCTTTGCACCATTCGGTGATGGCAACCTGGAGAGGAGGCACAACAATAGAGTCTTTCTCCCCTGAGAAACTGAATTCTTTCTTATGTAAATCAGTTTAAACCAGATTGATTATTGATTGATTATGACATTGATATAGTGCTCTTTCCCATATATGGATAAGTTCAAAGGCATTTTACAATGAGTTGTGAACAAGAGGTGGTTAGTATGGGGTGTAGGCATCACTGAGGGTAGTCACTGCCAGGTTTTTTTTTTTACATCCTCAGTGGTTCTTTTATGTTCCTCCAATGTTGGTTGGTAATGATGAAGACAGTGTGGAGAGACGGGACTACCATTTAAATAAAGTGGTTATCCGAGCCACTTGAAATTCTAACCAATGTAATTGCAAAGGCAGCACTTTCTTTCTTTATTTTAAGACCCTAAGTGTAAGGAATCAATTTAATACAATATAATATTGATGCTAGATTTGGAAGCTAAACTCCAAGAAGCTGAAGGGGCCCGAGTGAAGCTGATAGCAACAGATGGTGTGTTCAGTATGGATGGTACTATATCTCCCTTGAAGTAAGATTATTTTCAATTATTGTTGTGTAAATATATATATTCAGTCGTTTCATATAAGGCTCCTAATTTACCTATTACGCATGTTATACTGTTGTAATTATACGATTTCCGAGCCCATCCCACACAGCTCACAGCCTCATCTATTATATATATTATAATTTTTATATTATGTATTATGCAGTGGAACTCTAAATACTACATGTATGTATACTTTGTATAATGAATGGTGTGGCATGACAAATGAATTGGTTTGTAATCTTTCTGACTATGAGTAGCTATGAGTTGAGACTGTTACCTAACTAGACTGTTTCATGTTTCCTTCAGTGAAGTATGYGACTTGGCAGATAAGTATGGTGCTTTAGTAATGATTGATGAATGCCATGCTACTGGATTCCTTGGAGAAACTGGAAGAGGAACAGATGAGTACAGGAATGTTAGAGGCAGAATTGATATTATTAATTCAACTCTTGGAAAAGCACTTGGTGGAGCAGCAGGTACAGTAAATTAATGTCTGGCAATCACATGCAAACATCTTATTGTAAATTCCTTTTAATGCATCTATAAAATCTGAACAGGTGGATATACTACTGGCCCATCAGAGTTAATTCAAATACTTCGCCAGAAGTCTCGTCCATACCTCTTCTCTAATACATTACCTCCTGCCATGGTTGGAGGAGCAATCAAGGTATTGATAATAATGATAGTGATTTATGAATTTTATATATAGCTCTCTTTCTATATTTCTATTTCTATATGAATATAATCAATGGTGCTTTTTATTGAGTTCTGAATGACAGATGGCTTTTATGCAATTTACAAGCATGAGAGATGGTTAGTATGAATTGTAGGTACTGAGGGTGGTCACTGCCAGGGTTTCTTTAGTCCTCAGTGGTTCTTTTATGTCCCTCCAATGTTAATAATTAACATCATCATTATTTTATTAGTAATGATGAGTGTGGAAAGACAGGAACGCCATTTAAAGTGATCATCCAAGACACTTGAAAGTCTAACCATTTGCAGATGTAATTATGAAGGCAGCATTTTCTCCTCAGTCATTTTTAATACCCTGAGTATTCTTCTGCTTGGGTTTCAAACCATGACCCTCCACACAAAAGTCTAATGCTCAACCAACTTAGCCAACCCATAACTGATAGCACCCATTTAGACCTACACTTGTTGTTTTTTTATCTACAGGTATTTGATTTACTCATGGCCAGTTCATCCCTGACAAAGAAGATTGCTGATAACACCAAATTCTTTCGATCAAAAATGGTTAAAGCTGGGTTTGATGTCAAAGTGAGTATTGCTTGACATAACTGCTCATTGTCCTTAAGAAAATATATATGTCACATGTTCAAAAACTCCATGGCATTCCATTTCCACTCTTGGAAAAGTTTTGTTTTGAAACGACTTTATGAATTGATATGACCAACAGCTGTTTATTTGACAATAGGGAGGCGAAGATGGTCACCCTATTGTACCCATAATGCTTGGAGATGAAAGACTTGCAGTGGAGTTTGCAGATGAAATGCTTGGTATGTTTTCAATTTTCTTCAAAATCATTTGCATAAAATAATAATTTATAATTTTCCTTCTTCACAGAGCGTGGCATTTATGTCATTGGCTTTACTTTTCCTGTGGTACCAAAAGGTAAGGCTCACAGTTTGTATATCATTGTACTTGTTTGTTACAAGTACCACTACACTGTCATTGATTCCCTTAATTCCTTCCCAAAATCCGTCCACTTCAATGAGTATTATATATCATGGTATTTGCATAATGGCTAAAATTGTCTTTGTATAGGTACTGCACGTATAAGAGTACAGATATCTGCTGGACATAGCAAAGAAGAGATTGAAAGGTGTATACATGCATTTGTTAGTGTGGGGAAAGCAAAAGGAATCATTAATTAATAATTTTTAGGCTGTTAACAGTCCTTTTTCACTCCTAACTCAGAGTCGGTGTTTTTCACTCCCCGCTCAACCATGTTTGGGAGAAACCCACCATGACTGAGTTTGGAAGAAAGAAYGAATAGTCAACATTCTATCCAAGCACTGATAATCAAAATCCAATCCAAGTTAGAGCCAAGCTTTTAGTATAAGAAAAAATATTTTTTTTTCAAATTAGTAACTCTAAATTATTTGAACATCTTTACTTGTAAATAAGTATTTAAATGTTTATTTGTCATTTTGCAACAAACATTATCTGATGCACACTGTTAAACAGCTTGTTAATTAAATGTTTAGCAATATATTACAGTTAGTCATTGTCGAACTAATAAAGTAAAAATACTTATATATATTGCAATCATGATTTTCTGACATGGAACGTGGCAGGCTATCGTAATGCGTAATGGAGAGAACACCGTCTTGCAACACCTTATGCCATCATGCCAGAAAATCCATAGCTCTGACTCAGACAATAGCGAACCAATCACGTAATTTTCAAACAATAGCGAACCAATCACCGTCCTGTTAAAGAGTACTACAAGGATTATGAGACAATTTTCTTTTATTATGAAAGGACAGTAAGAAATTGAAACATTTTATTATTAATTTTCCATGATCAATGTTTTACATTCTGAGAATCGATATTTTAGCTACATGAGTTGAGCTTGTGGGACATGGCAATGGTAACTAAGGGAAGTCGAAACCACAAATCGTGTCAGTTATGCAGAGTTTTTAAGAATGATAATGCTTAGACGTTGCAATGGTTGAGAAAGAATCCTCGTGAAAATGAAAATACATATATTTAATAACATACTTTTGATTAATACTTTATTACCAGACGTATGCCAATTGTCCGATAAACGACTTGCGCAATAGTATGGAGTTTTGTTTTTGTTGTAACTCTTAACTTGTTTGCGTATTTGCACTTGAATAAGGAGAAATATATATCTTAATAGCACAATATATATACTCCCCTATATTTGTTAATCGAAGTATTATGATGATCCGGGTGGATGTAGTCCTGAGAAGGACTATATTTGCTATACGGTTACGTGCCGCCAAACGGTATGGTTTTCAGCGATTCTACTCTAGAACAGGGCATATAAAATCGCGCTCGCTCTGGAACAGGGTATATGAAATCACGCTCTCTCCTCTCTGGAACAGGGTTTTCAGCGATCTTGCTCTGGAACAGGGTTGAATTTCAGCGAATTTTACTCTGGAACAGGGTCAGGGTTCAGAGGGCTCAGCGGCACTGGCATCCATACCCTAAACGGGCAAGAGTACCCCCCCCCCCCCGTCAAAACAATCGTTTACGCGACTTATTCAGTGAGTTAGCTATAAGTCAGCGTTGCGGCGTGAAAATAAATCAGTTCGCATTTTTCGCCCCGCCTTCATAATGAGAACTAGGAAATTCCATACCACTTATGGTTCCGCGTTTTAGCTATCATTCCGAGTCCATGAAATCATGTTTTCTTGAGCAACTAGACGCGGCGCTGGTACTTGTCTGTAGCCATACCGTAGATGATGCTTGGCTCAGCCGGTGGTTCGTATGAGACGCGTGCTAACTGGGCTGATTGAATATTGATAGAAAAAAAAAAAAAGCGCAAACATCGTTTGAAATGTTCTGTCCGCATTCCAAGATATAAAGTCACTTGATTTTAAGAACTTTTTGTTTGCACACAGAGATATACAGCTGTCAAATCATCATGTGCCCATAGTGGTGCCGACATTCTATGGTGCAGAGTTAGGCTACAGTTTAGTTTATTAGGCTGATTGACGAGCAGCAGGTGATTGCTTGTCGTTTACTGCTTGACTTAATAATATATATAGTTTGCGTATGCTTTCAGTTCAGTGAATTACTTTTAAACTATTAAATTTCTAGTGGTGCTTTCTAAGAACATCTTTTAAAGTTATCGATTCTGATGTACATTCACATTGCGCACAAGTATATACCCGCTCGTCACGATGGTGACTATGGTTTACGTGACATACACGTAGACCTTTAATGCACATGCTCAATTGACCCACGTGTGTCTATGGTTGGTTATTGTCACATTCGGGTGACATGACCTGTATCACCAGTGCTAAAAGTTATCCTTTCCATTCAATCGTGAGCGCGTGTCACGAACCAAGTCCAACATCACCTATGGCTCATTTCTCGTCGATCGAGGCAATTTTGGATTAATTTGGTGGGTTTTGTGGAACAAACAATAAGCCGAAATGACAATAGTGGAACATTTAAAATCAGGTAAGCGTCTTAACATCTTGAGAAGAGGAAATTCTGCGTCGATTTTCGGGTAGACTCATATCGTCGCTATATTTCCTATCTTGTGCCAATTACTTTCACAAAGCGCTATCAATACACATGTATTCACTGTGTGTTTCTGATTGGACTTTTAGATTCAGACGTATTTAAACTAATCGCCACATCACTTGGTTGTGTTTTTTTGTGTGTAATTGTTTTATGGCTGTTGGCTTTGAGATACAACGGATGGCGAAAGACGGCAGCTCAAGGGAAGCGGAAACAACTTCAGCGTCCATTTGTCACTAAGAGAATTTCACTTACTCCTAAAGATGATTCGCCCACAATTATATTTGTAAGTAGTATATTACATTCTCGGTCATTGAGGAAACGTTTGAAACCAAGGATATATACAGGATAGTCATTGAGACATGAAGAATTGAATCGAACGAGGACCTATCATCAGAATATGACTTCCTCAGCGTGTTGTCTATCAATATCGGGAAGCATTTCTTATTTACAACGCTTAACTCGAGATTATGGTTTGACTGAAGAGATTATTGACGTGTCAAAAAATATATACACCCGGCATGTATACCTTATACTCTTAATGTATTATAAGATAGGCGATAGATGATATGTTCTAGAATGTATTTCAAACGTAAAGGGAATCGTATTGCGTTTAGCTAATGTTATTACAACGGTTGGGTTAATTTATCACACGCTACAAGATTCTAGTGTTCTCAGGAGCTCATTCACTCCACCTGTTGAAGACGTTCTTGGTAAACATTTCGAGATGGATTGCACCCCGCGAGGAGTTGTTTATCTCTCTCATGGATTATAAGAAGATTACATTGCTATCAAAAGTATATATATATATATATATATATATATGCATCAGAATGAAGGCAACGCGATTATTCATTCAATGAATCACATGAAAATAATATACTATTCATACAACGACCTGTTTCTGTTCAAGCGCCTGCCAAGATTCTTTTAATTACACAATTTAAACAATGACTAGCGTGTGGCTTTTACAAAACAAAGAAACGCAGTCAAATTATCGTGGTATAATGATTTCGGCTCTTAAATTAGGAATTCAATGACGGACGGTTGGATTCGTGCGTATCCAAACTATATGTCGTTAATAGTTTTTATATTATCAATAATCGTTAACAGCACGTCAACAGCTTGTCAGGTCCATCTTTGCTATTATGCTTTTCATGACAAGCGTGCATTTAACTCTTCTGTTGTTGACTTCCATGTCAAAGAGATATTTTTATATTGAGCCAGACTATTCAAAGAATGCTATTTTCTCTCGCGTGATTACTTTTAAATATGATTATTGTTGAACTAATCAGTCAAAAATCGTTAGAGCTGAAAAGAAACGTTTTTTTCTCTTTTTGAAAAACGTGTTCAATTTGGATGTACATACCGCATAAAGTTTTTTTGTAGTTGATTGATTTATTATTAGTTACCTTAAGAGAAATATTAGTATTTTAATATCCTACGCATGCTTTCTTTTTCGATCTCGTTTCTCAGGTGATGCATCTAATTATTTTAATGCTGTTTGTTTTTAAATGAATTGTCTGTTCAGTGAATATTTTCCTCTGTCCTGTTCTTTAACTAAGTATTGTCCACAAATCTCTTGATGTTTACAAATATTGTGTGTGATGTGAAAAAAGGAGTTTTACTGGATTAGGCTATATGCAGTAAAGAAACATGTTCTTCTAGAAGGTTCAGGACTTGTGGCTTCATATGGTAATAACACGCCTAAGGGTATTCGATAAGTAATTTCAATATTCAAATATTATATTCTGCATTGTCCTGCCATGGGTCTTGTCAAAGTGATAATAGTGGAGACCCCTTTATAGCCTATGGTCTTGTTAAGAATACCATTATATGGTAGACCGACAAGCAAAACTGAAAGAACGAGATGATAAACATTGCACTAATTTTAGTTTCCTAATTTTGATATTCCTCAGGGTCCCTTTAATCACTGGTCCCAAGTTCAATCATCTTCTTCACTCAAGAAAAGCATACTGATGATTCCTTCAAGCCCTACAAATTTTGATAACACTTTTCAAAAACGTTCTTCCCCTAAAAACTACCAAAAGAAGCCAGAAAAACATGTCAGTCCTAGATTTCTTGGTCAGATCATCTCATGTATCAATAAATCAAACCCTACAAGTCCAAATACTAGTTTGAATTCACCGAAGAGAAATTCTGCAGCTCAAGGCCTCAGACCTATTGATGATTATAAAAACCCTTTTATTTTGGACCAAAGTACCACAGATGAGCAAGATTCAACTTTACCTAGCTTGCTGCTGTCTTCTGATAGTAGCACAGATTGTATCATGGAAAAGAGTAAACCTGACATGGTTGAATTACAGCCTGCCACTTCAACAATGAAAGTGGATAAAGCAATTAATACAGATATTACTGCACAAGATAACAACATGATTTATAATAATAAATCAATAACAAGCAAAGACAAAGAAACCCAGGCTTGGAGAGAACACAAGAAAAGCCAATATATGTCACAAAATCTAAGAAAAGATGAATTTTCATTGAGGTTGTGGTCTCACAAATGTAATTTTCCATGTCAAAGCTACGCTAAACACACAACATCTTATGGGTTTCCATGGAGCTATGACAGCAGTAGTAGCAGTACTGGTGATCCTCAAACAGACCTTGATGCAGAGCAACATGAGCAGGATTACCAACAACGTGCTAGTAAATCCTGCTCAGTAGGGAAAGGCAATATAGGGAGATATTCTGAAAATCGATCCCATACAAAAAAATGTGCAGCTGATGTTTGTGTACAAACAAAGTTTACTGGAGAGATTCAAAATATATACAGCCTCAAGCGGCATGATATCTCCCCTCTGTGCAGCTCAGACAGTACTTTAAAAGAAATTGAGTCTTCAGCAAAATGTTGCTGCAGGTCTGATCATGTCAATGCCAACCTAAGAAAGCCACAAAATAACTTGAAAAAGTATTCAGTAGTAACTAATCTTGCAAATGAATATGCAGAAGACAGTGAACTCCTGGAAAATGGACCTTCAATCTCTGATAGGACATCATTTATCCCAGCCAAAAGCTGGTACAGTCTTGGCTCACTTTGTGATGAAGATGAGGACTGCAAAACATGTGGAACAAATTTTAATGATCACATGCAGTCAGATGGTAGTGTTACAAAGCTTAATTTGTCTGCACTCGATGCTGTTAGCTACAATGATACTGGATATACCAGCACAGAAGAGGAAAGTAACTCCAATAGTGAACATTCCAAAGACACGTCCAGTTCATGTGAACAYCACAGTAATGCAGAGAATGGAAGTTATGATGGTGATTATGAAAGTGATGACGAAATCTTCCACTGTAGGCTTGTAGCTAGTGATGATATGGTATACAAACCTCTTCCATCTATTAGTGAACCATTTGCCATCGAAGAATATGCAGCAAGAGAATGGAAAAGTCAGACTCCAAAAGCAAATGTCATTAGAGAGGTATGTCTTTATCTAGGTCTAGTTAGACACTTTAAATAGTGGAAAAAAAAAAAAAAAGGTCCTATGACAATCCATTATGAACAAGTGGTTAAGGCCTTTCAAGCATTGCTGAAAAGTGTTCGGTGAACGCAACTAAATTCTATATATCAGTTGAATATAATATATAATTTGCAGAAACAAACTGTTCATATATAACGTATCCATCAAACTTCTCTTCTTATCATCCATGTCGAATTATGTCATTTAAAATTCTTCATATAATTACTAACCTAGCTCGTGTACAAGATCGAAGATTAACCAGATCAGAACAAGGTTCTTGGCTCTTTTTGCTCCTTGGGCTTCCTGTGGCGAGCCTCCTCTTCTCTCTCGTTCCTAGTTCTTCTCTGCCATTTAATACAGGGATCCCAACAGAGAATATAGAATATATATGGAGTATAGCCTGCGGACGGGGAGCATGTGTTGGGAACCTGCCCTGCAGTTTCCACAGGGACCCGAATATTAATTCAACAGGTTTTGGGCATACTTTTGCTAATTTTACACTTGCATGAGACTTACAGTTGAATTAATATTATTTATTTACGTAGGGGTATGCTGCCATTTCACATCATATTAGCTGCCAGCAATTGCGCCAGATTCGTGGCGACAATTATTGTGCTATCAGAGCTACTTTATTCCAAGCTCTCGTCAATGGGATCTCTATTTCGTACAAATTCCTAACAGATGACACATGCCAGGTTCGAAATTCATTTTATTTTCCGTATTGGACTCATTATCCCAATATCTCCTGTCCTATTTTTGTATCTCACGGGTGGTGCCATGTGACATAGTATTATGCCAGTTGTATAGATTCATGTTAATGTTGCACTTTTTCTGTCTATAGTTGTTAAGGAAGCTAGTTGCTTCTACACAAGGAGCTCTGCAAGATTGGAGTTTCGCTGGGAGATTAGAGGTTGAAAAGCATAACGTCATGTCAACCCTAGAAGAAATCCTTCGTTTCTTTGTAGAAAAGGTTTGTATTCTTACTGCTTTGTTTCAAGATTCCAAGCTGTCATATGAGAGATATGAATAGTAATTTATTTACATACAATCTTTTATAGATCAGTAAATGTGAAGAGTTCAATACCAAGGAGGCCAAGACCGATTACTTGCTTTCCTTATTTAATGAAGAAACAGGGAACAGTGACTTCAGGCTTCTTGAAGCTGTCAAAGTTGTCATGTTGTACTACGCAGTACAGATGTACGAAGACATGAACAAAGGAAAGGGTGTTCCCATCCATGCGTGTCTTTTGTTTGCACGTGATTCTTCTTCAGACCCACAGAGTTTGTTGCAAAACCATCTCAATCATGTTGGGGATAGTGGAGGACTAGAACAGGTAGAGCACAACTGAATATTGGGGGGGGGGACACTGAAATTTATGATTTAAGATCGTCTGCGCAAATGTTAAAATATAATGCCTGCAGATATGTTTTGCATGTCACACATAAGGGTTTAGTATGAGGCAAAGTGCGAAATTAAATTTATTCTTTTTTCCTTTCACGAATCAATGAGCACTATGCACAAGCCTCGCACTGAAACTTTTGAGCATGACAAGCAAAGCATAGTTAGTTGGCTATGCTATTAACTTTCGCTCTGCTTTGTTCTTTTGTTAGGTCGAGATGTGCCTCCTAGGATACACATTGGGCGTGGTTATACAGGTCTTTCGCCCATCACAAGTTAATAAACAAGATTTTATTGCTTATTACCCATACCTGGAAGACGTCCCACCACTTACACCCACTGTGTCACTTGTTGCCGAGGATGACCGACATTACAACATCCTAGTAGATTAAATTATAATACCAAAACTACACTTTTTATCATGTGCAGCAACTTTAACCTCGGCTTGGAACTATTATTATTGGCCACTGAATTGTAAAATGGAGTATTAGAACTAGTTTGATTGTGAAACTCAGAGGAAACACATGCCCCTATCATAAAAGAATTTTTWAAATATTTTTTACACCGTGCTAAATAAAGTAAGCTGAATTGCATTATGCCCCTTGCTCCTCTAGCACTGCACTGTTCAAGCAATGCATGAATTTTAGCTAGAAACGAGAAAAGTTTAAACTGGTTTTAAAAATTATACACGAATGTTCTCCAAGAGCAAGAAAAAAATAAGTGTTCTAAATTAAGGTATTTATAATAAATTCAAATATTTAAAGGTTAAATATATCTACGTGCAGCAAGCCACCACCACCATACCATTACGTGATACTGACTGTGCACGCACAATGAACCAAAGTATGGCTAAACATACTAATTTCCTTTATATTTTCTTGAGTATGAACATTTTGAAAGTGAAAACTTTCATTCAATGACCAAAAACCATGGGAATGTTTCCCTAATATTGTGAGGACAAACTTTCTTTTCTCTTTGCACAGCTATCTGGATGAAATTGAAAAAAAMCCCCCTAGAATAGGTTTCCCACCCATCCCTTTAACTTTTGTTCTATTTCGTACAATTTGGTTAGTTAACTTTTTCATGGATATGTGGTATTCGCTCTAGTATATTTGCACTTAAAACACACACATTTACTTTGCTTAAAGGCCCCTCTTGCATGCATGACAAATTTTTTGAAGCCCCCTTTCATGCTCCAAAAATTTTTAATATTAAGCCATGAAGTACATAAAAAAGGCTAGAGAGATTATAATTAGCCAGTGAAAGAAAAACGACGATTTAGTTAGTACTAGTTGATAAAAAAACGAAAGAAAACAATGTTTTTAGAGTCTACTAGCTATTACGCGTACGTTTTTGTCACAGGTTAAACAAAATCACTCTAGCCACTGGCTTCAGCTCGAGGTTAACTGTGATCATGAAAGCAGGCCTCTCAGGGAGAGTCCCTCTCATTGCACCTCGATTGGGTTGACCCCTGTAATTACCCCAAATGTGGGCACCTCGAGCATATTATTTCTGGTAGTGGGGACCTGCGATCAGTTCGTCCCAAACAATTCAATCATAACAAGAGCAGCAGTAGTAGTAGTTTCCACTGTCTTCGTAACAATCAAAGCAAGTCCGAGCTAAAATGTAAACCTTAAGTCTGCTAAAACATAGGTCATGTTAACCTTAACTGTGTGCACTAACCCTAGCTCCAATTGAATCCCAACTTCTTACCAACCCTAGCTAGAAAGTTAACCATAAGTCTTTCATGAATATTGTATATTGGTTAACAAAATGTGTAGGTTAGTTCCTTTGTGTTTCACTTAAATTTTCAAGGAAAAATCTGCCCAATAAAAATCCAAGTTACACATCGTTTCATTCAGTTCTTTACCAGTAACTAAAAAGAATCACCAATTCAAAATAAACAAAAATTTAGTTCTCCAGTACAGAAGCATGAGCATTAACTGCTTACTAAGGGCTTATTGAGAAGCATGTTTCATCCTTTGACAATATCAGCAAATATCCAGGCCGCAAGCAGTGGTTTAGTCACTAAAAAATAAATTTTCTGCTTGGAAAACAACATGCAAAATGTGAGATGCACTTGCTTATGGCATTTGTCAAATCCTGTGGGCTGTATTACTATAATTATTCCTAAGTAAAAAACCTCTGACACATGGATGGAGTAAACAAAATGATTTATTATCATTAACGATAACGTCTCAATGAGAGACTGTTGTGTTTCTTCCAGTTAGCACGTCTTGAACTACCAATAACCTTGTTATAACCATGACCCTTACGCATTCCTCTGTTTTTACGGCCAGCTGCAGTCAATCCACGCAGCTCCCTATGTTTGTGAACTGGTTTACAGATCCAGTTGATGCGAGCATCACGGCGTACAGCTTTATGGAAAGGATCTACCATTATTACCTCAAAGTACTTGTATACAGAATCGTGGCCAACCCAATAGGAGTTCAGCACCCGGAGTCCACCACAGTAACGACCAGCACGTTCCTAATATGAAAATAAATGTTATTTATGTAAAACAACAGACATTATAAAAGAACTGCTCTAAATTTTGGTTTCTGATTGGTTGGGAATGGATGCTTTATGAAAGCACACAGTGCACACAAACACTTTTACTTAGGTCATTTTTGTAGTTTGTTTTTAAAAGAGAAAAAACTTGCTTGCTGTGCCATGTGGAGTTATAAAGCATTTGATGATTGGCGAACACTCGAGAAGTGTTAAGAAGTACTCCGCTACACCTTGTGCTTCTCTTAAGGATGTTCATGGACATTGTTTGTGCACATCCTTTCTACACATGAAATTAGTGAGAGCTCGCTCATCATGATGACGTCTTTTCAATATTTTGATAAGCAAAATATCATAAAAACGTCTTTAATCAAAACAAACCAAACAGCTCTCTGTAGAAACAAAGGTGCCATCCAATCACAACAAATGGCAGAAAATCTTTAGATGTTTTATTTTTAGCTCACTCTGTGTGAACTACAAGTGAACTAATGAACTGCTAGATTGTTGTACAAATAAGCCTGAAGCGAGATGACATTTTACCCCTGTCTCTAGACCATAATCCTTTTCACACTGCTTTTCTTCTTTAATTATGACTATTGTTCCTGTATTCTCTAAGGAATCACAAATTTTAATGTGAAAGAATTTTAAAAACTATTATGGTATAGAGTCGGGGGTAAAACGTCATCTTGCTTCAGGCTTATTGCAAACTTTCAATAATTTACAGAAATAAAACRAAAATATTGTTCATTGACTAAGTAGCTGTTATGAAATAATTGATACACTTTATATTGTAAATTTTTAAAAACTTTAAAGATTCTAGGGGTGCGCTTGACCTGATTTGACAGTAATCATCTTCCCGACTGATGAAACTAAAGTGGAGCTAAAGTGGTTATAAAAGTATAAGACACTGCAAAGCCTGTCTTCTAATGCTTTGTCAAGAGCCAGAGCATCACTTTTGTTACTGACTATTGCACTGCAATATAAAGTCATGCAAAACTAGAAGTCAGATTTCTGAAAATTTGGGTAATGGAACTACAGAATTGGTAAAGCTTTATTGGAAACTAAAGCTCTTAGGTATAAGGAATGAAATGATATTTGAAGAAATTGTGGCTACAGTTACACAAGGATCTTTACTAGATGTTGCAGTTGGAAGGTTTTGAGTTTGTAAAGTGGGCTAAGTGGCCAAAATTCTCAAAACTTATACAGCCAGACTTGCTAGAACAGGCAACCAAGACTGACCTGGACATTAACTCAGAACCATTGAAAGCACTCAGTATCTTGGCTCACAGAACAAGGTAAACTTGTTCCAATAAGGGGACAAAATTATCAACACACGTCTCCAGGCAAATTCTTACAAGCCTTCAGATGTATGTACAATCAAAAAGGGTTATGCCAAACCATATGGTCTGGTAACCATACAACATTCAAGTTGTATAAAACATCTAAACAAAGAATATCAAGTGTGGAAAAAGATAGCCTCCTTCGCAGCCGTTCTTAGGGTCGTCACGCAATGTTTCCCTCCCCACAAACGTCTGCTTACTTGAGCCGAACATTCCTTTCCAATTGTTATCGATGCGACATCATGTGCCAATCAAAATTGGCCTATTGTCTTATCAAGAGCCAATCAAATCCTACGTTAGAAATTTTGCGACAACTTGAAAGGAATGCCACGTGCTGTCAAAATTTGCTTTGGAATTATTTTGAAAGGCGACAACTAGTGACAAAGAAGATAAATCGAAGAAGTGTTAATATTGATGAGTTGCGATATTACTACGACGATGTTGTTTTCCAATTCTCTGATGTTCAGAACGTCAAAACATAGTGCAGTGGCAGGGCTTGATAAATAAGCGATTTACCATAACCAGTTGGTAGATTTTTTTTAGTTGAATGTATGCTATTGGATGTATTTTACAAGAGAAAATGCGTGACATAACCGGGGTCAAGCTAGAAAATCGTCTCTCCTTAAAATAAAACAGAACCTGTCAAAAAAAAACAGAAGTTGATTTGAAAACCCCGCGCTTTCCAGAACATTTTGGTATATAATTCATAGGAATTTGTTAAAATTTAGAATTGTATTTTTGCTGATTTTATAAGCTCATACTATCTTTTGGCTATACATTCGCATCTTATGGTTTCTCAGGATTCGTAGCCTCGAAAACACGCTAACTGCGGCCATTTAGGACGTTGTGTCATACAGTTTACTTGTGCTATATAACTTTACTTTTAAAAACAACCTTTTGCTTTGGAAAGAGACTGAAAAGAGCAAATACTCCAAATGAATAGGCAATTTTTTCTAATGAACACTACAAACACGCTGAAACACTTCTTCCAAGGATGCCATATTTGTTCTGTGGCTTTCCGCGAAATATCGACCAATCAGCATGAACCTTCTCGTTTTTAGTAGGTTCGTGCTGATTGGTCAATTTTGGGAAAGGAATGTTCGGCTCAAGTAAGCAGACGTTTGTGGGGAGGGAAATGTTGCGTGACGACCCTAAGAACGGCTGCAAAGGAGGCTAGGAAAAAGATTGATAACTCACAACTCCAAAGGGAGATGACCAACAAAGGAATCAAATGGAAGTTTGTTAGTGAAAGGAGTTCACATCAAGGTGGAAGAGAATCTGCTGCTTCCTCAAAAAGCCACTGAGAAAGACCAAGTAGGGACAATTTTGAAGACCCATTTAGAAGGTGTACCTCCTTGAGTCAGAGGGAGGTCAATGATCAAGCAACAAAGGAATATCCTCAAGAAAATGCAAACACATTGTTGACACAAGGTGTCAAGGCAGGAAAGATATTGAATAACACACTGTCCGGCAGAATAGGTTGTTGCCCGTGAACACGAAAACATGCAAAGTGAAAGCTTTGAGTGATTTGTATAATAACCTGTGAAAAACTAATTATTCAAGGGAAAAAAGTAAGTGACAAAAGTACATCCTATTATTGTCAAGAAGAAATTACAAAATATTAAAGTGAAAATAAAATTATAACCAAAAGTTGGGTGATATAATATGTAGATTTACTGTGCAGATACTACAACAGGGAACATAAGACAAACTAGTATTATTAACCAATCACATTGAACATTTAGTTCAATATTTTAAACCAGCCAATGATAAATAACATTAAAATATCATAAGAGTGTGAGAATGTGATAATCTGATTGGCCAACTCTGTCATCAGTTCAATCTCTGTCTGGTTTAGTGTTATCTGTTTGGACACTTATTCAAGTGTAACGACAGTAACATTTACTGCAATTACACTCAAAAAATTTTTTACACAGAGTACCTCTAAATACCCTGTGAAGGATGACAGTAAAATTAAGATGGACTAGTTACCTCGGCAACAGATCTCAAACTCCTTTGGAATTTAAGCTGGTTTACTCCTTGGTTGTTTGGTTTTCCATAGGTAGCTCCCTTGGGAACTGGCCTCTTGCGTCCACCACGGCGTACACGCACTCGGTAGATTACATAGCCTTGCTTAGCCTTGTAACCAAGTCGACGAGCCTTATCTGGGCGAGTTGGTCTTGATGCCCTATGGATTGCACTCAACTGACGATACTGCCAACATCTGATTCTTAACAAAAACCTAAGCAGATCAGACTGCTTTTTCTTGTACAACTCTTCAAGGTACTTGTAGGCTCCCATACCTGCACATGCAGAAATATAAATTACTCTTCTATTGGACTTTAAAGTGTAAGTGCGTATAGTGTCGYGTGATCTCCGAAACGCTAGTTGTGTTTGTCAACACTCCATACCCAGAAAGGTCAAGTCGTATTAATTTCTCTCATATTTCAATCAAAATGGCTTCCATAGATACGAAGTTTTTGGCCTTTTTATTTCGCATTGGGCTGAAGTATGGAATTAAATCCATGAAAAATGTATTTAACTATTACAGTAGCAGTTAGGGATTGAMCAAAAATTGAAGATTTTTTCCCCACCGTGAAACTTGATTTCCAAAACTATTGGATTTTTCAAATAGAAACCTACCGAACCTTTTATGAATTTTGGAGCTACCATTACAATAGCTAGCTTTAAAAAAATAATTTTTTGAGCCCAAGGGATAAAATGTACCTACGTAAAGATGCGTTATCACGATGAAAAATTGTTTTAGCAAATATTTCATAAAGAAAAACGTATGGAGATAATGAGGTCGAAAAGCGATGCATTCTCAGCCTACAAGAGCGTCAAAGCCCAAACTTGAGCATATATAAAGTATGAAAATGATTTCAGCAACTAACATAAGGCTATAATGAGCAAGGATGGTCTAAAATCGTCAAGAAATTTAACAGATCTTAAACACACTTACCAACCAAGAAAAAAGATGGAGAGAAAGAAAGAACGAAGAATCCAGACTGCCTCGCTTTGATGCCACGTAGAAAGCGGTGATAGACAAAGAGCATGCGCACCACATGAAGTAATCGTCCATTTTGAATCGTTTTTGTTATAGAAATAACCACTCATTATTTAAGTCTTTTTAAGCTCATATTATAAGCTGGCATCCCTTTTTTCTTCATTTATCGTGAGAATGAGCTTTCCAGATAAAGCTGAGGAGGTAAATCGAGAAGAATGGATGGAAAGACTTGGGAAAATAAGGTTCCCAAGAGCTGAGATGAATCGTTTAATTATGGACTATTTGGTTACTGAAGGTTATAAAGAAGCAGCAGAAAAGTTCAGAATTGAGTCAGGAACACAACCATCTATTCCACTAGACAGCTTGGATAACAGAATCAAGATCAGAGAAGCCATTCAACGGGGTGATTTAGAAGAAGCAGTATCTCTTACTAACAAGCTAAATCCAGAAATCCTTGATACAAACCAGCTTCTATATTTCCATTTACAACAGCAACGACTGATTGAACTAATTCGAGAAAAAGATATCGTATCGGCTGTGGAATTTGCCCAAAATCAGCTTGCCGAGCAGGGCCAGGAATCAAATAATTTTCTTGAAGAGCTTGAACAAACTATGGCACTACTTGCTTTTGAGAACCCAGAAGACTCGCCATTTGGTGAACTACTTCACCCAGCTCAAAGGCAGAAGGTGGCGAGTGAACTGAACGCAGCAATACTTGAAGCTGAGTACAGAAAAACGCAGCCTAAACTTGCTAATATTCTTAAGCTTTTATTGTGGACTCAAGAGGAGCTTGACAAGAAGAAGGCAAAGTTTCCCAAGATGACAGATATGGCAACTGGTACATTTGAAGATCCAAAATAATGAATCAAAATATAATAACCTGCATAAAAATGACAGTAAAAAACAAATATTACCTCTTTTTGAAAGCATAGCAGGATATTTATAACCACTTTGTGACATTGAAGAGCAGAATATTCAAGAAGCATTAAAGTGTTAGTTTTACGAAAATGAAAATGAGATTATAGTTTACCAATAAACAATAAATGGAAACTGAATAATAATAAAAATTAACTTTTCCTGTCAGGAATTCTACTTCCAAAAATTGTCAAAAGCTCATCTGCCATTGCTTTGCTGCTGTTGCACTTTAATTTATGTGCAACATCATATGTTCAACTGGCATCCTTTTTACCTAGACTGACTCTACAATAGAATCTGTAATGTGGTGAAAGGGTAAATTATACACAGTGAAAAGATGAAAAAAGTGACGTTTTGGACACTAGACCTTCATCGGAGTAAAAGAGCTCTTAAGTTTTTTCATCTTTTCATGGTTTATAGTTTACCCTCTTATCATTACTGTTCGATTAGAAACACCGATGCAGCTCACACTAGATCTTAGCTAGTTATCTCTTCCTGTAATGTAGTACGTTGTTGATACCAATAATATATTCTTCCAAGATGTCTTTTGAATGAATTTGGTTGCGATTACTCAGTGAAAGAAGCTGTAAATTTTTAAATGTTGCGTGTATGACGTCACTTTCTTTTAATTACAAATAAGATTAGGAGCTCAATCGCTATTTTACAATAACTTACAAATTTCTTGTGCCCTGATTGGCTGATTTTTATCATCAATAAGAGGAGAGACAGATATTGATAGAAAAGAGATGTTCTTTTATCGTAAAAAAAATGGACCTCTTTCCCTCTAAGGAATAGTTTTATTGTAGTCAAGTAAATGAACTGACAAACACTGCGAAGTATTAAGAATTTAGTACAAAATTTTAGGAAAATTAGCTACTTCTTCTGAACTATATTCGTGAAGCCTCTTAGGTATTAATGCAGGAGTTTCTAACTTGGAAAATATGTTTTGAGCATAAGGGTGATTTTCATCGTCAAACAAAAACAGCCTCTTCATCCATATTGGTCTTAGATTGTTTTTAGGCAGCATCCCATACACAGCTCTCCACAAAACACGTGTTGAATCTCTTTTATGCAAGTCTCTTGCTCTGATTTCTTTCAGACCTCCTGGAAACCCCGTATGATGTCGATAAAGTTTATTATTCCACTTTGAACCAGAGAGAACAATATCTTTAGTGTTTACGACAACAATATAGTCTCCTACGTCAATAGCATGATGATATATGGGCTTTGTTTTGCCTTGGAGGATTTGACCAATATAGCCAGCCAAACGACCGCATACTTGATCCCTTGCATCTACCAAATACCAAAGTCGAGCGTGTGTTAGGAAGCTTTGTGATGCACGGTTTGTAAAAGCCATTTCATGCTTTAACTATCTAGTTCAAAAGCCCTTCTTCTTACAAGTGATATAACACGATACGAACGAGGTATACTCAAAATGGCTACTACGAAGACCTTTGTCATGTTACTCTCACGAAATAGTACTACCGCTGACGCGCTGACTTGAAGCAATATTTCCTTATTTGGAGTGGAAGTCACATTTTAACTTTTTCCTCGATCGCTTTGCAGTTCTTTTTTGTCGTTTCACGTTTATTTATCGTTCACGTTTACTAGTATATATTTGGTTTACTTCACATTTTATTTCGTTGCGAGAACATGGACTTAAGTATGCTTGTTTAAATCGGCTTTACATTCGCCCAAATCTCACTGATGTAACGTTTGATCTTTTCGTTGCTTGATAGATTTTGGAGATTCCACCACCAGCCCTACTGCAAGCTATCTTCCTGGATATCTGTTGGGTGGTAATACTCAGTCATCTTTGGTTGGTATTTTTCCAAACAAATCTATTGAAGGACGTTTTGTAGTTTTTAACAACATTTTTCTGACAATAAATTTGCGAGTGCCAAAATTTCGTTCTTCGAATATTCTTCGAAAATTATTTGCTGACAGTGAGACGGTGTATAAAACGTTAAACTAGTTTCCAACTAATTACCATTGTTTTGATTTCTTTAAATACACGCTGTTTGAAACAACAACATTCGCATCATGGAAATCGAGCAGTAGACTACCGTCAGTTGAAAATATTGATGAACATGGGAACGATTTATTTGATTGATCAGTTTATTGCTCAAATTCCATATCACAACTAGCTGTTGTTTCAGTCAACAACTATCAATGAAAGTTTATCGAAGTAACATTATTTGTATTATGATCATCCAGGTGGATGTAGTCCTGAGAAGGACTGTTTGATGGGACTGACGTTTCGACAACCTAAGCTGAAGTCATCTTCAGAGTCGAGACAAGTCACTTGATGACTCTGAATTCGAAGATGACATCCTCTCAGGTTGTTGAAACATCAGTCTCATCAAACAGTCTTTCTCAGGACTAAATCCACCCCGATGATCATAATACAAATTTGTTACTTCGATAAACTTTCATTCAACTGGGTTCAGACCATTCTATACAACAGTACTATCAATGAAAGCAGTGATAAATAAGCAAAATATGTAAAATGTTTATTCTCACAGCCGATGTCCAAAAATTGGTCATCACCATTAGGTTCATCTCAAAGAAGTCCATATTACAAGAACTCCAAATCACCACCAAGAGGTGTAACTTCCAGTTTCACAAGTCCTCATCAGTTATCTGTAAAAGAAAAACAGTACAATTCCATCAGGTACATGAAAGAAAGATGATTAATGCATGATGATAGAGTGGTTAGAGTATTTTGTGAAAAACAATATGATAAGGTAGTAGCTGTACAGTAACCTACCATAGTCATAACATGCTTTGTGATTGTATAAATTATTATTGAAAGAAAATAGACCATTTCAATGTTACAGCATATCCTACTGGGTACGTGTTGTGTCAGTATCATATATATTTTCCACTCATACATGAACGCTGCTCTAGAACTAAAAAACGTCATCTTCACATTTCTTCTGAGTAAGATTTAAGAATATGGAATAGGAATATATTAAATTGTAAGCCCCTTTACGTGATTTCATGTGTGAGCACATTAGTCAATAGTTAATAGTTAATAGCCCATTTGGCTGAATTAGTCAAATCCAACTAGTCAGTCAAATATAACATATACATGTAGATGCAAACCATTTTTGAAATAAACCACTAATTTAAGTAATACCTTTTATCATAGGGGTACCCCAACAATCAGTCGGACACCAAAAGAGTCTATARGTGCTCCACCAGTAGAAAGTCTTTACAATACAAAGTATGCTGTATCTTCACCATTCACAGAAAGAACCTTGGATAGAACACAGGTAGGACCTTACTCTATAACTACTCTTGTTATTAACAGTTCATTGTTTAACTGGTATACAATAACATTTTCACACCAGTTTATTATTTGAAAGTGAATTTTTGTCATTCAATCTTTTACCAGATGGATTCTATTAACACGTATTCACCAGTGAGTAAAAGTTTACAACACACTCCAAACATTGGTAAAGAGGTCACCTTTGGACGTACAACGATTGCTGTTACCCCTCCTTCTCCAGCACAAGTCGACCCATTTTACACTCAAGGGTATGTAGACATCAGCTATCAGGCATTGCTTTTTTGCATTTCCTATTTTTTAGGAATTTTTTAGGAATGAAAGCTAACAAGAAATCTTACTTGTATCAGATATTCCACATATTAGTTTTGTTTTCTTTCAGGGAAGGTTTGACTAGTGGCGATATTTTGAATGAATGTTGGGTTACTGTTTTTGGGTGAGTTAAAATATTGTTATTTCAGTATAACATTGGTAAAATTTGATTAAGGGGGTCTTCCCTATTTTTTTTCACTATGAAAAGGATTAATAAATTATAAAATCTGTAATATTTTTTTTCTTATGTTTAATCGAACTCATACATAAAACCAATTTGTGAAATTGAACATTTTCTGATATGTATAATGACTTTATCACTCCTACATAATTTAAGGTGTCATATTTCGTCTAAAAAATAAAAACAAGAGCATGTGCATTTGCTCAGTTGACCACAAAAATGAGCTAAATCATAGCTTAGATGAATTTAGACAAAGTTAAGCATTTTTTTTTTTAAGACTGAATAGTCCAGTCTACCATAAATCATGTTGAAAAAAGTTAAATTTAAACGTTTTCCCAATAAATTGCTTAACATAGAGTAAAACCCATTGGTTTTATGTATATGCTAGTAAAAAGGTAAGACCCTCCTAAAGCAAGTAGATCTTTAGAAGTTTGTGTGGATATTCTCTTGTTAATTTATCTTTATTTTCATCACCTTAGCTTTCCACCTGCTGCCTCCTCTTTCATTCTTCAGCAGTTCTCACAATATGGAAATATTATCCAAAAAGAGGTATGTTGCTACTTGCCAGGCAAGCAGCTTAACATAGAGTAACACGTACAAGGGCGGATCCAACCAAAATTTTAGGGGGGGCTAATTGAGTTTAGGGGGGGATAATAGACCTGTTTCAAATTTCAAATTACCGCTGTGTTTCTTGATTACAGACTCATTTGCACAGGGTTACCCTCGAGTTTGTGCAGAATATTCACGTGTTCCAGTCAAGGTCCGTCGAGTTTCAAAGTGTTTGTATTGTTGAAGTTGTGCATTCTTTACTTAACYGTTGGTATTTGTGAATATTTAGACACTGATTCGAGGCTAATCCTGTGCAAATGAGTCTGTAATCAAGGAACACTGAAACTGGTCTATTGAGTTTCTTCTGTCAACACAACAGAAAACAATAAAAAAAAGCATCTAATTCTTCAGTTTCGTTTTGTGTTTTTTCTGCTGGGGGGTGGGGGCTTCAGCCCCCCTTTGTCCCCCCTGGATCTGCCCTTGATGTACGATGATTTTATGAGCATGTAGTACTTGTGTTCAGCAGGGATCACCTACGTTTGATCAACCACTCTATATTTCTCATCCTTTCAAGCAAACAATTAATGTAATCTATGTCATATCAAAGTTGTATTTATTAATTTATTGATTAATTGATTGATTTTATTATTTATCTTCCAAACGATTTATGGACATTTTATGGGGAAAACAATATAGCTAATTAAGCTATTTTATTAGCTTAATTTCTACACTGTTGTGGACAGTGGCAATGATAAATAATTTATCAATACAATTATTGTATCCTTGTCCAAAAAAAATTGACTTTATTTGGGTGTTTTTTTAAATCCATCTCTAAGATGTAGCAACCATAATACCCAGATATTACTTCATGTCTACTCACAGCACTTTACTTGCAATATGCAATACCTAGTAAAATACAGTAAGGATAACATAATATTGTTGTGTACGGTTTTAATCTTCATGTGCAGGAATTGTTARGGGAATTCTATTCAAAATCACATTTCAATATACAAATTCATTAGACTAGTAGTCATACCTTACAATAGCATGTATTATTATAACTTACTTTAATAAATATTTTTGTGCATACAATAATGAAGAATCAATTTAAATATGACAAAAAAGAAGACCAACCAAGCAAATTCACTTAGTGGCTGAGAAGCTAGGTTTGGGGTTATAGATAGTGTTGGGATAGACATTTTGCAATAATCATTTGGCGCTAAGGGTGATGGGTTTGAATCTTGTCAAAAAATTTATCTTTGGAGCAGCCTGTACAAGGCCCATCATAATGTGCATTATTTAAATGTACTGAAGGACTTAATCTAATTTTCTTCCCCTTAGGTTATGGCAAATAGAAATTGGATGCACATCCAGTATCAGTCAAAGTTACAAGCCAAAAAGGTACCTAACAAAATTTAGTTTAATAGAATGCAGCAGGAAATTCCATCAGTGCAATTAATTTCTCTACTTTACATTTCAGGCCCTCAGCAAGCATGGAAAGGTTTTTAGTGGCAATCTTATGATTGCAGTCATCCCTTGTATTGAAAAGAGCATAATGGCATGCATCGGAAAAGAAAATGTAATGGCTGCAAGTAATGATGCTATCAATGACATATCAATGAAATCAAGTACCATCCCATGCAAGACACCTATAAGACCATTGACGGCTGCATATAATGCAGCAAGTAGCACACATCAGGTACAGTTCTCTTAGACTGAGTACTATAATTACAGTTTTTAACAATATCAAACTGGTCTGATAAAATTAAGGGTAGCATACACATCAGTAAGTAGTGCACTCCCCTCCCTCTCTGGTTTGATTCCCACACTTGGCTCACATGTGAATAGAGCTTGTGATGTCTTTGTTTTGAGGGTTTTTCTACTGGTTCTTTGGTTTTCCTCCCTTCATCCCTCCTAGCATATATGGTTCAAACACTCATTATTATTATTTCACAGGTTGAGCCTCTAGATGGCAAAACTCCACAGAAGAGTGACACAATCATTTCGAAAGCCATGGAATATATGTTTGGCTGGTAGATTATAATATGAGAATATCTTTTTAGATAAATTATCATTATTATTGTATGAGAGCAAGCTATAAAGAACTAAAACAAAATGCAAAGAACCAAATGCAAAACATATATAATTTCATCAATGAATAGTAAAACCAGGAAACAGTACTAAATATATTTTGCACTACATAGTACAAAATAGTGCAATGCATATCTTTTGCTTTTATATTGTTTTGTTAGTGCTTAATAGTGCCACTACTTCTTCTTTGATACCTAAAATGGAGCTCAACCTTAAGACTTTGGTACTTGTCAGCTCTCAATGTTAAACAGAGGTGCTTAACCTTTCATTGGTTCGTACTACAGACAACTCAGTTTTCATCCTGACTTTTGTCTCTCAAGTGTTTCAGATTTGCCACATAGTTTTGAATAAAGCTGGAGTTTCATAATTTAAATAAAATTGTATTTCTTCCTATTGACACTGTAATAGAGTAATTGAGGAAATTACCTTTCTTAGACGTTGTACCCCCTTCATAAATTACAAGAGCATTTGAGTAGATACTTTCTTGGGGAAGTGATGCCATAATTATTTTGTATTTTGGAAACAATGTCCTCTCATTGTAATTTTTGGAGAATGATGTCATTGCTTGAGAATAAGTATAATATCTGAAAATTTATATATGTTGAAATGGATTTAAATCATGCAGAAAAAAACCATTAGAAAAGGGTAAAAATAAAAAAGGCAGAAGGGAATGCAGGGAAACATATTCGTGAGAACCCAACTGAGGCAGATTTTTTAATCTGCTTATACACTCGATGTAGCATACACTTAACATA